TCCGGAAATGGCGGGTTCCTCGGATCATTTGAAGCAGCTTCTTCCTTTACAAAAGTTTTCTCCGAGGCACCGTTAACGAGTTATTAACGAATAAACAGTGATCAATAAGAATCGAGTACGGCTGACGCGAGGCGGCCCAGCCAACCAGCGCACGAAGCCCAGTTCCGCTCATTGGCTCGGTCGCCTCGCGCCAGCCGAGCTCGCCTCTCATTGGTCACTGTTTTTCGTTGATAACTCGTTAATGGTGCCTCGGAGAAAATTTTTGTAAAGGAAAAAGTTGCTTCAAATAATCCGAGGAACCCGTCACTTTCGGATTGCGAGACATTTTTGGGACACCCTGTATATCTTACTGAAATTATTACAAGAGAGATGATATTTTTATCTGACTTTTACGTTTCTCACGATCGACTTGGACTATTTTTATTTCACATAAATATCTGCAGTCTGGTTAGCAGTGAGTTTTTCGCCGAAATTAAGGCACAACGCTTACGATACGTTAACGAAAATAATTTCCACGGATATGAATTACAACGGGAAGCCTCGATAACTATTCAATAATTATATAATTAACAGCGCATCGAGCACAAGTGTATTGTAGCACAATTAATGTTCGCGAATCAGTCTAGTGTTTCACGTACAATTATATGAACGCAATCTATTATGCAATTCCGTGTAAGCTGATTAATGAGAATCCAACGGTCATTGTGTCTTTTTAATGATTTGGCTGATATACCCGCGGACGGGTTTACCTGTAAACGAGTTAAAATTACGTTTTCCGAGGATAAGTATTAAACGAATTTGCATAGTTATTTCTCTATTAGATGACAATTTGCGAGAGCATCGTGCGATAACGCACAATATGGCGGACAATTAATTGTTTTCCGTTTTATGCCGAATTTAATTGCGATAATGTTTCGACGTTCTAATAGTCTATGTACATATATCCGCGTGCGATAATTATCGTAACCGAATTAATTGATCGCTCATAATGATTGTTGATTAAATTGATGTGTAGTATTTAATATAAATTACAATGTACAAATTGATAGCCGACGATCGATAGAAAATATTCGTGTTAATGGCCGGTCAATGTTTAACAGTCATCGGTTCATCGATTAAAAGGTTAATTGCAATTACTAAGATATTATTTATTTACTAAAATTTATTTATTAAAATTTATTTACCAAAATTTATTTACTAACATTAAAATATGTTAAAATACGTTAAAAAATGTTGATTTTAGATAAACAATGTTATCGTTTTCGATGAAATCTTTACTGCCATTGTTACGAGAATTTTCGTAGAATTGAAAGAACGATTAATAAAACATCGAGGCAGTCGTGTAACAAATTTTAATTAAAATTTTGCGTTGCTCGACCGTCAAATTTGTTGCACAAAATCCATTATGCAGCGAATTACATGTCGGTATACACGTATACAAAGTGTCTCACGATCTATCCCGCTTGAATTTTGGTTCATTAATCTAATTTAATAAATTCGCCGCTCATTATTACCGTTGGCCATATTACGCGTTATTTCGACCGAAGTAACCGTGACAAATTTTATGACCGTGGTTCGGTCTCGTGATTTACCGTGCCGCAAATATGGTATCGTCGCGTAGCATCTACAAATAATCGTCAGAACGAAAATTTGTTGTAATATATAGCCGGCCGCGCCACGTAAATTCTAATAGCTCGTTAATTAAATCAGCGACCATCTTCGTATGTTTTTTTCGCGGACGAACGTCACGTATGTTTTATTTTATCATTTGCACGAGCAGCAAAATTCGGATATTCCCGAACAAGTGATAAAATGTAAAAATTAATGTCAATTTTAAATTCGAGTTCATTTCGTTAATTATACAACCCCGTATAATTTGTCGAAAGACTTTTCAATGCAAATCTAACCTATTTCTAATGAACCGATTCTACTAAGTTTCATTCGACTGCCAGAAATGACGCCACGGTTTTCGCGGAGTTGCAGATCGCGGAAGTTGTTCGAGACGCGGCAGCGACGCAGCGAGCGGCTCGTCGTTGGCAACGCCGCGCCGGAGCGTCGATCGTCATCGCGGCGTCATCAAAGACACCGCTGCTCACGATAATGGCGGACTGGAGCGATGGAAAAGAAGCGGCGAGAAGGCGGAACACATGGACAGGGGGAAAACCGGAGGTAAACTGGAACGGGAATAAAAAGTCGCGGCAAGAAGCCCGGGGAACCGGTAACGAGCTTGCGGTCGAAAACGGGCAGAAGCGTCTCGTGTTTGTGGAACGTAATATTGTACATCGGACAGTCGGCCGGCCCGTTTCAGCTTCGCCTCTGCTCGTCGCCGCGGCAACGTTGCGTGGCGTTTCATTACGTGCGTCGCCCGTCGACTGTTACGCTATTACCAGACGCAAAGAAAGGGACGCTTTCGGTGTCATCCCGCCGTTGGCGCGATGTTTTCGGTTTCGCGTTACTTTCCTCGAATTCGCAGAGTTTACCGAATTCGCCCTCCAAAATTGTATGCAGAGTCGGTTACAATGGAGTAGCTAATTCCCGGTCGTTTGTTCATTTTCAAGCATAATTAACTTTGTGGCGAAACTTCTCTTTGGCGGTTTCTATTTCTTTTCTTTTTGGACCATTGTGACTATTCTTTTTTTATTATAGTTTCTATTTCTTATTTTAATGTAATTAAAGTAAGTCCTGAATTTATTTGTTAACCTTTTAGGCACGACGCGTCACTATAGTGGCTTCCGCGGATGTCATCTCTCTGAATGACGCGCCACTATAGTGGCTTTCGCGGATGTCATCTCTCTGAACGACGCACCACTATAGTGCCTTACTCTAGTAGCTCACTCGGTCATCGTTTGAATCAAATAATCGTCTTCATATGCATTGTTTCACACTTCTTTTGTCTTCACATCGATTTACAATATACAGACTTATCTTAACAATATAACTGTTAACAATATAACTGTATCTTAAAAATATACAGACAGAATATATAGACACTCTATACAGTACATATCAGACTCTGCCGTCCAGAGAAATAGTCTCGCGCAGAATTCAGCCGTACCTAAAAGGTTAAGATGTTACGCGCGTTGACGAACTTCCAGCGTTTTTGACAGGTTATTGTCAAGGTTGTAGGTGTTAGTGGTTTTACGTTGCGCGTGTGCTGCCATCTAGCGACGCCGATCGTTAAACTACGGCGCTAATCTGCCAGAAATGTTAAAAACTCGTCAACTTTGGACGCGCATAACTTTTTAACAAATGAATTCAGGACTTATTTGAATAACATTCCTAGATTCGGGACTTCAATTTTTGTACTTCTCTCGACAAAATCCATCGGGATGCACACTGGAAAGTCAACAAAAAAAAAATAGAAATCCCTGAGAAAGAGTTTAACCTAACCTTTATCGTATAAGACACACACACATCAAATTTTGTTATTTAAATTAAATTAAATTAAATTAAAATAAATTAAAATTGAGATCTATTACTTATGACTCATGGTTGTGAAAATGATCGGCCGTACGAGGGTTAATTACAAAGAGAAGAAATAACGAAGAAAGTATTAGATTTGACTTCAATAGAGATTATAACGCATTCGCAACATTTACAAGTCTCTATGCATCTTCGTTTCCGTTTCAGTGTAACCTCGCTGTTCCATCGTGGACCAGAAACGACATGATATCGACGTAATCAGGAAGGTAAGCGGTCGAAGCAGGTTCTACAGGAAGCATCGAGTATGCACTTACGGGGGTTCTGCAGTAGCGACACTTGACATTCTCGCCTATACCATATCCTATGCACCGTACCCTTCAGTGGTATACGTTACAAGAAACGATGTTACACGCACAGGTGTGCTCGAGTGCGGTATTTGAGGTAGAATCTGCAAGATCGTGTACAGGGTGAGTCATAAATATTAGTCCCCACGATTTTCAGCCTCCTCCGATGGTCCGACAAGAAAATGTTTCCTACCAAAAATTAACTAGTATTCAACCGACAAGAAATTGCAATCGTTTAAATGTAAAAACAAATTTATTTTATAGGCGACGTCGAGATGAATTCAACGACTAGCTACGCGATGACCTCCGGATGATGACATTGCAGGAAAAATTGTTACACAGGGTGTCCCAAAAATGTCTCGCAATCTGAAAGTGGCGGCTTTTTCAGGTCATTCAAAGCAACTTTTTCCTTTACAAAAATTTTCTCCGAGGCACCGTTAACGAGTTATTAACGAAAAACAGTGATCAATGAGAGGCGAGCTCGGCTGGCGCGAGGTGACTGAGCCAATGAGCGGAACTGGGCTTCGTGCGCTGATTGACAGGACCGCCTCGCGTCAGCCGTACTCGATTCTTATTGGTCACTGTTTTTCGTTAATAACTAGTTAACGGTGCCTCGGAGAAAATTTTTGTAAAGGAAGAAGCTGCTTCAAATGATCTAAGGAACCCGCCATTTCCGGATTGCGAGACATTTTTGGGACACCCTGTATTCTATTTGAAACAATTCGGCGACGCGTAACGCCAAGGCCGCGCATGTAAACGTAAACAAACGAACGTAAACATCACGAATTGCTCGCAAATCGTGGACACTAATTTGCGACTCACCCTGTATATCCGGCGGATCCACTTTATCTTCGGTATTCTCTCTTTTCGCGATTACTATGGTACCGCGGGCTTATGTTTCGCCTGCAGAGGCAATACTTTGTTGCACGACCGGAAATGAATTGATCCGGTTGGATACAGTTTAATGGACGTTTTTATTTGCAACAGGGATTTGACTGTGCTCCGCGGATTAGCGATTGATTCGCGCAGCACTGAAAACAACTGTTTTATATTACTTTATAAAAATAAAACGGTATAATGTATTTATTGCGATTCGTAACGGGTCTCGTTGTAATATTCACTCGAAGTAACAAATATATTGAGTAAATAATAACATTGAATTGAACGAACAAATTGAACGGATAAATTGTATCAACGATACAATTAGAGCAACCCGACGTTTTTACGGATTCCGTAAACCCGGTGTTGAGGCTGTTTTTGCGAGTCCAATTGACACAATATTGAACAAGCATCGTTAGAAAATAATAGAAATCTTGTGTGTCAAAGTATAAGAGAAGAGAAGAAAATTCAAACATGGTTTATAATTAAGAAACTGTACAGTATACGACAATTACAACAATTACAATTATACAAACTACATACGATAATTATACGAGATCAAAATTTTTTGAACCAGCTACTAGAGAAATTCACATTAATTTATTTTAATATTAATTTTTACGAATCGAAGAAAAAAAATCTTTTACCATCTTAAAATTCTCTCTTAGTTTTTACTGTCTTACATTTCGCGCACAGACGCTTACCGAGTACCGAGAATTGTAATCGATGGCTTTTAAAAAACAGTATGAACACTGTTTCTTTTTTTTCGTTCATCGTCTATTAACTTTCCATCGCGCCCGCCGCGCGTGAAGACGTTCGAGGAGCTGTTTACACGCGGCGGCCCGGCGTTCGAGAAATTCCGCTCGGCCACGAAGAAGTACTCGAATTAATTACATCGTGCTTTCTAGTTGGCTAAATAAAAAGCCGAGTGAATTTCTTGGGGTAGCGAGCTTCCCCCGGCAGCCTTGTTATTTCACTCTCTGCCGGCGCGTTCCGCGTAATTTCTCAACTTTCGCGTGAAATATTTGCGAACGTGCCATGAAAATATTTCTCCTTTAAGTTTTCTTAACCCGCCGCGCCTGGTTTGGCGGTGGCTGCGAGCGAAACGCCTGGATAAGGTCCATATTATACGCGGTGTCCCGGAAAGATGATCATCTTCGTCCGGATCGCGACGGACGTGATAAAACGGCGCGCAAAACGCCGGCACTGTGTCGAAACGTTTCTGTACTTTGTCAACGAAATACGGGCATTTTTAACTGGCTGTGCGAGCAGAACCGGCTCGATTTACGCGATTATTATATTATATTATTAATATATTATATTATATATTATATTATAAATATTAATATTATATTATATATTATATTATTATATTATATTATTAATATTATATATAAGAGGATATTCTTTTTACTTAATACGTTAAATACGACGTTATATATAATATTAATAATATAATACATTATATTAGTAAATATATTATATAATATATTATATATATTATAAATATTAATTATTAATATATATTATGTATATTCAATATACAGGGTTCCCCGGAAAGAATCATGCGATTTCAAAAATTTATATTTTAAAAAATTACACACAGAAAATTATAATCAAACATGAATATAACAGGAAAATGTGTGAGTTTTTGTTTACAAGCGTTTAATATGACTTCCTTTCGTTATACGTATGATATCATTGCGATATGAAAGTTCTTGCCAAACACGGTGTAATGTATCTCTGGTAATTGTTTGTACAGATCACAAATGCGTTTTTTCGGTTCATTGTAGGTAAAGGTGGTACAAAGACAAGATCCTTCACAAATCCCCAAAGGAAGAAGTCGCATGGGGTTAGGTCGGGTGATCTCGGAGACCAACTGTGTAGAACCATATTATCGGATGAACTGCGACCAATCTAACGGTTTGGTAGTTCCGTGTTAAGAAAATTCCGAACCTCCAAGTGCCAATGGGGTAAAAAGTAAAACTCGCACATTTTCCCGTTATATTCGTGTTTGAATTATAATTTTCTGTGTGTAATTTTTAAAAATATAAATTTTTGAAATCGGATGATTCTTTCCGGGGAGCCCTGTATATATTCGTCATATTTAACGTATTAAGTAAAAAAAATATTCTCTTACAATATATGATAAAAATGTCGTCAAAGAGAAGCCATAAATTCTCGAAATATCATACTGCTTGTTACAACTTTAAACAATTAAACTGCGAATTTGATGCATTCGTGACAAAAATGAATAGACGAAATTCGAAGCAGTCAACACATTTAAACAATTTTTAAAGATACCACTGCATTACGTTCAACTCGTTAAGGTTATTAAAAAAGAAAAAAAGAAATAAATGTCTGTTAAGCTCCTGCATGTCGCAGTGAATGTAACCTTGACATAACCTTGACAATTTTGATAATAATAATAATCTTTGCAATAGTAATTTCTATAAATAATTGTATTCATTACAATTCTATAAATGAATAATTCTATAAATGATTACATTAAAAAAAAAAATTCATTCGACGTTCTCCGCGCGAAATAAAAAAATCGCTGTCGGTCGAACGTGTCAATTGATGATTGCTGGTCGTCGCGACGTCTCTACAGCGAAATAAATTACCTGTCCGCCGACCATGCCTTGGCGAAGTCTGACCAAGTCGGTCTGGCTCCACGCGCTCTTGCTCCACGGCGCGACCTGTCGCAGATCCTTGTCGAAATCGAACTCGGCCAGCTGATTGTGAACGAAGTTTCGTATGTTCCAGGGTAGGTCATTGTGCCCGTCGATCAAAGGCACCTCGGAAAGAACCTGCCTGACAGTGTCCAACCTTTCCTTCGACGACGTCAGGTGCGCAATCTCGCCATCGGCTGGCCGTGGCCCAACTTTGTCGACGCAGCTTCCAATTAACAGTAAGATCACAGTTGCTATCCAGACACCGCTCTGACCGCCACACTGAAACATCGATCGTTTGTGGTTAGTCAGGGTTCGTCGAGGTACTCGTCGGATCATTTAGCTACTTTGCTAGGATCTTGTACAGGCTATCCCGAAATTACGGTACTACCAGGAAATGAGGGATTCCTGAGGTCATTTGAAGCAACTTTTTCCTTAGCGAAAATGTTCTACGAGTCTTCGTTTACGAGTTATTAACGAAAAACACCGACCAATCGGAGCGCGAGTGCTGCGCCGCGCCGGCCGCCTAGAGCAGCGGCAGTGGGCGCGAGGGCGGGACGCCAGCCGCGCGGGATCTCTCATTGGTCAGCGTTTTTCATTAATAACTCGTAAACGAAGCCGCGGATCGCATTTTCGCTGAGGAAAAAGTTGCTTCAAATGACCCGAGGAATCTCTCATTTCCCGGAGGTGCCATAATTTTGGGATACATCTACATATAACTATATTACATATATAGAACTTGCAAGCTACAATATAATGCAAACAAATCTAAATGTTTTTCTTTTTTTACAGATAACTTGTAAACAAAAACAGACAATTTGAGAAGAGGAGACTCTTGCGCAACAATTGCTGTTCTCTCCAGTGCCTCCTGAACGCGATAGGATTCGCATTTCGCGATAGGATCTCGCCTAATTTATCTTGGAAAAATCGCCCGGACTTTTCTCAGCGTGCGTTCGCCGTTCAACGAAAAATCGAGCTCGCGGAATCGACGTCAACGCAGAAGATCTCCTTTCACGGCGAACCGTGCGCACAGAGAAGAGGAATCTCTCCGTTATTCGTCCGAGTTATCATATCGCCGAAGAGACGGAATTTAAATCGCGGGGTTAAGTGGCATACGGGGGCCGCGTCGCACGGATTAACGATTCCCAAAGGCATTAGCCGGGCAAGGAGGAAATAAGTTGCTTTGACGTCGTCGTCCGCGCCCGCAGAGATGCCGGGTTTCCGTAACGACGCCGTTCCTGTTACACGTTAATCCTCGAGCGTTGTCCATACTCGCCGCTATTCCAAAGGGAGAAACGAAGGCGGACGAGCGGGGCCGAAGAGAGCCGGAGGGACGAGAGGGGAGCTTTGACGCACTTCGTCCAGAAATAATTTACTGTTTCGTCCTGTGAGTTGCAAATGCAGCCGGCGCGCGCGCGACGACGACTGTCATCGCCGGGGCTGCTGAGGGGCCTGAATAGTTTATGACTCCGTCAAAGGGCCAAGGGCGGCGGCGCGGCGCTCCTTTCGAGGAACGGTTGTTCGACGGAGACCCGGCTCTCCTCGGCTTTCAAAGGGCGTCGGAGCGCAGCCGACGAAAAACGAACCGCTCCATTGTCGTCTCTCGATTGCCCTGCTCCTCTCGTGCCCCCGCCCCGCCTCGCCCCGCACCGCTCCGTACCGTTTACTCGGCCCTGTTTTCCACGGCGCGATTCATTTTTGCCCGGCAGCCCGCGCGCGGCCCGACGGCCATTTCTCCACCGCGGAAAGGTCAAAGGGCTCGATTTTTATCAACTTCAATTCTTCGCAATCCTTTGTGTTCCAACGACCGCGGGACCCAGCCGGTAAACACGTGCGGCATTTTATCGATTCACGCCGTGTTTACCTAGAAAATGTCGCAGTTTCTCGCGCGGTGTTGCGTCGTTTATGTACTTAGCTGTTGTAAATTCGTTGGCAATAGTTAGATAATCGAACGCGCGTGCGAAATATCGAGACGTTCGATTTTCTGTTCTCCCGTTCGCTGCGATCTCGAGTTCGTCACAATGCGTGTGTACTCTTGGTAAAACGTTTGCAGGAATAACGATTTTAATAAGAATTTTTGTTTGTTTCTTTTCGGTTTGTTTTGTGATATTGCACATTAAAATATACATTATAAAAAAAATATAATATATTTTGCATAATAGAATATATTTTATATAATATAACATATTTTAAAATATATTGTTTTATAAGATAATATAGTATATTATATATTATATTTTATAATGTATATTTTAACGTGTAATATCACGTGTAATATATAATATATATAAATAAATAAATAAATATATAATATATTATATTATATATGTATATACATAATATATAATATATTATATTTTATAATTCTTCTCGTCCAGATTAGAGACAAAGGAACAATATGTTCTCTCATTTTGTCCCGAACGAAATCGCCCGATTCGCGACAGTTCACGGGCGGCTGGTCGCCACGAGCGCGATTCGATCGCTGTCCATTTGTCCATCGGCCGATCTATAAGTAAACGGGTCGCTCTCTCTTTCGATCGCGTCGAAATGAATGAGCGGGCGAGGATTAAAAAAAATTGGCATTTTCGCGTGTACGAAACACGGCTAAAATTTAATCAAAGTTCCACGGCCGAACAACGAATTCCCGGAATGAATTCCTGCTCGATTGAACGAAGCGGCCGGGCGCTGATCCGTTTCTCGATTAACAGCGTCCTCGTAAAAATTCCAATATCGTCCGACGGCGACGACGACGACAACGTCGACGACGACGACGTCGACGACAAATCACTTTTCGTGGGGAACATACACACGGAATCAGTATGCGATTTACATTCAGGCGTTTTGATTAAAAGATCGTCGAGGGGTGGGAGAGGGGGATGCGGAAGTTAGTCGCACAGCCGTCGACGGCACCGCCCCCCCCCCTCCTCCGACGCTAATGTCTTCGACGTGAGGCCGGTGACGAGACGAGAAATAGAGGAAAAACCGGCGGAGGAAGTTGACGATGAATGGCGCTGGCGAGGCCGGCTGCCTACTGGACACCGTCCAAATGTCGGTCCTAATAAAAGATCGTGCCGAGAGAATGGGCTCGCTCGGCGAGAAATCGAAGGCGGCGCCAATGGAATGCGGCCGCCTCCCGTCGATCGGCGTTCGCCGAACGTTTTTATAGTTGCCGACTATTCGGCGACCGTAAAAACTAGCTGTGAGGCGCGAATAAGCGTATATCCCCTCCTCTCAAATCGTCCATTTCCGTTTACAAGCACTGAGGGACAATTTTAGAGAATTTACTGTATTTCTTTTTTCAATTGTTTTAACAAGTTGAACGTAACACGGTGACATTGTGAATTTCTTCTTCTTATTCAAGATAAAAATTGTCCAGATTAATAGTAAGAAACGTAAAAGTCAGATAGAAACGTCTTTACTCTTTTAATAATTTCAGTAAGATATATGTAATGCAAAATTACAGTAAATTCTGTATAATTGACGCTGAAATTCTGCTCAAGAATGGACAATTTGGAGAGAGCAGATACGATTATTCCCAAATTCTCCATTTCTGTTTACAAGCTGAGCGTCAATTAGGGAGAATTTTATTTTACTTTTATTATTATTATTATCTATTTATTATTATTATTATTTATTACAATTTTATTTTCTAAAGAAAGTCGAGGTCGTGCCCTTTGAAACCTGACCAAAAAGTGCACTGCATCTTGCGTGACTCGTTCTTAAAAAATTAAATAAAAATTGAACAGATTTAATTAAATATTCTGTCACTCATAACTTCATTAAAATTAATCGAACAATTACAAGCGGTTTACAAACAGTTTCTGGTAATTTGGAGATAGAGCACGTTGAAGCTGTGTATTCAAGCCTAAAACTTTTAGCCTAACTTAACCTAGAATTTTTCATTGTGGAGATATATTTATAACCAGACTTTTTTTCACGTTTTTGGAGAAAATGCCTCATTGTGCGGCGATCAGCGGATCGATCGGGCTCGCAGGATTTGTTCCGCGAAGCCAAAATGGAATTGTTATAATCCTCCAAATCGTTGAAGATCTTCCGTCTTCCTACGTCCGCCTTGCTGTTCCCCCCTCCCCCGCCGGCAGGGCTTCCAATCGTCTCCGCGACTCGCTTATATCGTTATCTCGAACGCAAGCCACGATTTAACGCGTTTTCGGAATTTATCACTGGAGCTGCTCGCGACAGCCACTTCAGGGTCCGCGGAATAGGCGAGGCGATTCTGCATGGCTGCGGAAATGTATCCGCGGACACCGTGGAATCGCGTAAATCACGCGGATTCACTTTTGCGTTCGGGTTCCCGCGGAACTCGATTCTTCTGCGGAACGGTTCTTCTCTTCGAGTCTCTTGCGCGCGAGAATTTTTACTCGTATAGTTCAAAAAATATTTTCTTCGGGGAATTACATTAGCGACGTTAACGTCTTTTCGAACGGCTTTTGAGAAGCTCTTTCAAGATCGGTCGAAATCGCTGGATTTTTGTTGTGACGCTGGGGGTCGACTGGTTTTCTAGAAAATGAGTGTATACGAGAAGAATTGAAACGAGTCGAGTAGAATGAGTCGGAGCGAGTCGAGGTGAATGTGTCGACGCGAGACGAGTAGAATGAGTCAATGCGGTCGAGTAGAATGAGTCGACGCAAGTCAAGTAGAATGATTCGACGCGGTCGAGTAGAATGAGTCAACGCGAGTCGAGTAGAACAAGTTAGCGCGCGCCGACTAGGAAGAGACGACGCGAGTCGAGTAGACGCAAGTCGACGCAAGTCAAATAGAATGAGTCGACGCGGTCAAGTAGAACGAGTCGACGCGGTCAAGTAGTATGAGTCAATGCGAGCCGAGCAGAACGAGTCGACGTAAAGAAGTCAGACTTTTAAAACACGATAAAATCAGAAATACAGTTGTCTCTAATTGTCTCTCAGCTTGGAAACAAAAATACACAATTTATGAAAACGATTATTATATACGATTATTCGAGTGATCTCTACTATACATATACAATAATTGCCATCGAAGACAAGCGAATCCAAATTTTAACGAACTCGTTTTACCAGATAATCGAACAGAGATCAATCATGAAAAGCATTAATTTAACACATACTATACGAATCGATAGCACGATCTTCTCTTTTTTAACAGTAACATTTCTAACGATCTAAAAATGTCTTCAATAAAGCATTATTTGCCATGAAAATACCCTGTGCAAGCATTGAAAGAGAGAGAGAGAGAGAGAGAGAGAGAGAGAGAGAGAGAGAGAATCAAATAAATAGAGGGAGCGGTAGCGTGCATTGTTTCCAGTAGTTTCACCAGAATTGTGCGATGTATGTTTACAAGGTTCTTGTATTTAATATACATATTTAATTTACGTTGCGTAGAACATTCCATGTAAATTCTCCGTTTCTAAAACCGCGCTTTAAAATAGGGAACATTGCCGGTATCGCCGTGCGCGTTCCTCCGCTATCGCCGTGCAATTTCTTAAGGTGGCTAATCCACACCGGTTTAAAGAAACGGACGCATCGTTTTCAAAAGGCTTTAGCCGAATTTATGGCAGGCCGTAACAGTACGTATGCTCGTACGTGGATTTCGAAACATCGCGGGAAACCGGTGAAGATCTGATCTCTGATCTTTGATCTCTGCATTGGATACTGTATATTGGATTACTGTTCTATATTTATTATACATATACTATACTATATACATATATATATCTTACTCTTTCTTTTTTCTTACTTTTTGTACTGTATCATTATACAACACATATTTATATATTTATATATATGTTTATATACATTTATTTTATATGCATATTGTATACATATATGTATATTTTATATATACATAAATGATATTATTATATATATATTATTATTACTATTATATATTATTATTATTATTATATATTATTATATATATAATTATATTATTTATTATTATATATTTTTTATTTTTATTACGTTCATATGACGGC